GGAGGGTGATAAGGTGCAATAAAGTGGGCCTCGCATCCGGGATGGGACCGCTGAAGGTGACAGCGAGCTGGGCCTCCGGCCAAGGACACGGCGAGTCACCCCTTGGGAATCTGAGCTTAGGACCTGCACAGGAGACCCTCCCCGTCATGGGGGCAGGTGCTCCGCCTTTCCGCCCCCCCCCCCGTCTTTCTTCCCTGCGGCCGGTCACAGAAGCCGGGACAAAACACTGGGGACCCCAGGGGTGCAGGAGCCCGGGGAGGCAGACACAGGTCTCCAGACCTTTGGGGAGACCTGACCCATGGGAACATCCCAGAGGAGGTGACAAAACGCCCCGCGGGCTCTGCACGGACAGCACCAGCGCCACGCTCCCCGGGGGCCCGGCCGGTGGCCAGCGTCTGCGCCTCCGTGTGCCTCTCCGCCCGCACGGCCAGCACCCAGCAGCTGCCTGGCAGGGCGCCCGTGTCCTGCTCCGGCCTGCGCGGCGCTGCCCCCACCAGCCCTGCCTGACAGCCCCACTGCCTGGCCTCACCAAGGGAGCCCCCCACCGCCGCACCCCACGTGTGTGTCCGCCTCTCCTGCCTCCAGCTGGTCCCCAGGCGGGCGGGGTGGGGTGACACTCGCTGGGCCTGTGGCTCAGCCCCTGCCTTTGACCCCAGAGGGAGCAGGACGGGAAGACCCCTTGGCCAGCCTCACCGCGCCCCCACCGCTCCTGGCCAGCGGCCCTCGGGCGAGGAGCTGAAGCTGAAGGCAGGCGGCGACACGCAGCCTCCCTCCCAGCCCGAGCCAGCCGGGGGCCTGGCAGGATCGCCGGCTGGCCGGAGGAGAGCAGAGGGCCGGCGGGGCTCTGTGCCCCCGCCCCGCCTGTCCGCAGAAAGCCCAGGGAGCTGGCAGGACACAGGGCCTCAGGGCAGGGGCCCCCGAAGGAAGCAGGCCTGGGGGGACGGTCTCAGGGAGGCCCCGGAGCGGGGCCTGGGCAGAGGGGACTGGCCAGCTGAGGCCGCCGGAGCAGCAGGGGAGCCCGGCCCCGGGGGACAGTGCGGGGAAGGCCTGCACCCCCGGCACCCGCGGCCCGAGGGCCGCCCTGCGGCTCAGAAGCTTGTCTGGGGGAACCAGCTGCGGAGGGCGGGCTGGGCGGGGGGTCCTGGACTTCCCAGAAGGCGGCTGGGAGCTCCCGGCAGCCCAGGGCCGCGGCATGGGCGCAAGCCCTGCTTCCATCGTCCAGCCTGGGGGGCGCCCCAGGTCCGCCGCGTGCACCCAGCCCCCGCCCTGGTGCAGTGGGCCCCAGACCCACGACCCCGCCTCCACCTGCAGCCGCGCCCCGCACCGAGTCACCCTGGGCCGAGGCTGAGCAGCTTGCCCTGGCCCTGAGGGGCGGCCCCTCCCTGCGGCCCCTCCCACAGAAGCCCCTGGGGCCCAGTCCCCCAGCCCCAGAGCCCCAGGGTGCTCCCAGACATCCCCAGAGCCCCGCCCTCCTCCCCGGCTGGGTGCGAGCACCTCGGGGAGCCCCTCCAGGCTGTGAATCAGGGCACGGGGCGCAGGGCCAGCTCAGACCGCCGCCCCCGCGGGCTTCCTTCCCGCCCACCCCAGCGGGTCCGCCCTGCGGGGCCTGGGGGTCGCAGCAGTGAGCCCCTCAAACTGCAGGGAACTCTGGGCGCCGCCTGTGCCTGTGGCTGCGGGCAGGGGGGACGGCCCCCCACCCCGCCAGCAGACCTCCGGCCGCAGGGGAGCGCCAGAGGCCCAGCCCCAGCCTCACCCCATGGGTGTGGGCGTGGCTGCCCAGACACTGCCGGACACTGGTGGCTTCTGCTTGCTCCAGAAGCGCTTCCTTCCTGCCGCTCCAGGGAGGCGCACGGCCACCCACGACACAGCCCACTGCCCTCCGGCCGTCCGCAGGCGGCCGCAGCTGCACCTGCTGGGCACGGCAGTGCCCGGCAGAGCGCGGCTGCAGGTGCAGGGCTGGGCAGCGGGGACGGGGGGCTCGGGCGGCCGCCAGGCCCAAGGGCCGAGGCCAGCATGGACACTCCCATCTGCTCCAGGCCGTTCAAATAACGGGTCTTCCAGGGAGGTGCCGCACCCACCGCGCCCCCCCCCCGTGAGGGGGCCCTGGGGGCCGCGTCTCAGAGCCACCAGCCACCCCATACTGCGGGACCCCCCAAAGAGCCCCTGTGCCAAGCGGGGCGCTATGCCTCGAAGCCCTTCGGTGGCCCTGCTGCCTGGGACCGTGCCCCCCAGCTTCCCTCAGACCCCACGCTCCCTGCCCAGCGCTGGGCCAGCCTGGACGGACAGGCCTGCTGGGCTGCAGGGCTGCTGCCCCTTTGGTGGGCGGGACGGGCGGTGCTGGGGCCCCCAGGCCCGCAGCCTGGTCTCTCGGCCTCCCAGTGGTCGCGCCCCTGTGGTGCGCCCTGGGCAGGCGCCTCCCTTGGGGCCGAGCCTGGCTGCGAAACTGCCCTCTGACCGCGGCCTGGAGGGAGGGAGCGGAGACCCCGAGGTGGGGCAGCAGGAGGCCGGCAGGGCCGGTCCGGATGGGGCGGTGCCCAGGGCGGTCCCTTCCAGGCAAGCATCAGGTTTCACTTTTGGGTCCCAGAGCGGCCCGCACTGCGCTCACGGACGGCCGGGCGGACCTGGCGGGCCTGGCCCCCAGAGTCGGCACCACAGACGCGGTGAGCGGCAGCCTGGGAGCCGGAGCTGGGGGTGGGGTCCCGGCACCCGCCAGAGTGGCTGCCACGACCCTAGGCCCAGGGGGGTCAGGGCCCTGGGCCCCGCCCAGCCCAGGGACGTGCTGTGCCCGGCAGCCTCCACGGCCCCTGGCGCCTGCAGCCCCGGCTGGGTCAGGCCCGCTTTGGCCCTGGAGCGCCTGGCCCACGGAGCTCTGCTACAGAGGAGGTGCAGAGGGCGGCCCAGGGCGGCCCAGCGGGCAGCGGGCTGGGGCAGGTGCCCCGCCCCCATGCCGCTGGCTCCCGTTCTGCTCCGCTTCCCCTCCGCTTGGTGGCCACCGGCTTGGGGCCCGCCCTCCTCACGGGTTTTCTGGGGCTGCCTTGGCCTCCTCGAGCTGCCCGGGGACCGGGGGACGGAGGACGTGCGGTGGCCGAGGGCCACATCCCACCCACCCCTAGGGAGGAAAGCTGAGCCGGCCGGGGCTCTGTGGCTGCGTGGCGGCACGTGCAGGCCGTGCTGGCCGGCGGGAGGGCCTCCTGCGGGCAGGGGCCAGCCTAACCCTCGCCTCCCCAGGAGCATGCCCTCAGCCTTCGAGGAGGTGGCCAGGAACGCGCTGCAGGAGCTGGACTGCGGGGAGCTCGTCCCCGTGGGTAGCCTGTGCCAGGCGGCCGGCTTCCAGCCCTACAGCCTGCTGGCGAGGAAGACCTGCGGCTCGTTATTCTGGAAGACGCGCTATAAGTGCGTGGACCTGACCCTCAGGGACCTCCTGGAGCCGGACGCCCCAGAGCCAGGTACCGGGCAGGCCCGAGTGGAGCGGTGGGCCGCCGCGGGGCGGCCAGCCTCAGCCCCTTCTCGCCCAGACACAGTGCAGGACGGCCCCTTCCACTTGCACGATGCCATCGACGGGAAGCTGAAGGGCAGCGGGGAGCTGACCTCGCCGGCGGTGCAGGGGCGTCTGTCGGCAGA